ATCTCAGAATCGGCGTAGATAGTCATTGAGCACGTATTGATCTATTATATGGTACTCAGGAAATTTTGGAATTTTAGTTTTTTTCCCCGCGAATTTTTCTAAAACTAGGTTGAGTGAAGGTTTGAAACTCGACCGTAGACCTCCACAGATATAGCTGTTCGAAGACTAGTTTGGAAAATTAGCGAAAAATCTGAAATTCTAAAATTATGCGAAGCTTCACCTGTTTTACGTGGGATGGCGTAATACTCTATGTGAAAAACGCGATATGAAGTGAATTGAAAATACTTGGCGAATTACACCAGACAAATTATCCCAAATCACGTAAAACACTGTTTTACGTGTTATTCACTGCTTACATGCGTTTTTTCGCGAAGTGAAATGTGAATATGTTGTTCACTAGTGTTTTTAATATCATGGATGAAACTTCACCCTAGTGATATGAAAAACACTAGTGGAAAACATATTTCACGACTACTGCATAGCGCAAATTTCGGGTTTTTCACCAAGTATTACGCCGTTTCACGTAAAACGGGCAAAGCTCCACTATAATTTCCTCCCAGATTTGAGCACCTTTTTTATTACTATCATAGCTTCTCAGGAGCACGAGGGTTGGGGCTTCGGAACGATCTGTGAAGGCCTGTGTGAGGAGCTCAACAGTCTTGTAGGTCGTGATGACGGAGGGCGTGGTATAGTGGCTTTGTTGATCAGATAGCAGACATATATGTCAGAGTTGCCGAGTTACGTACGAAGGTTGATGCGAATATGGATATGAGCTTAAGCGCGGTGAAGTAAGGAATTGAATTCTCTCATTTCGTGTGATGTGATAGGAAATATCGGCTCAAGATGGGAGAAGTTTCGCAGAAAGTTGTCAAATTGAAAGATTGAATACAATTCTTTTCTCCCCTTGTTTCGACAGGCTCCATCGTATTCAGGTTATGCCTTTTACGCACTAGTCAGGAGTTGGAGTTGGTCTGCAGGGTGCTGCGGAAATGCTGGCATCAGCGCGGCGGAGCTATTATTGATTCTATACATGACCAGAGAATTACCATGCATGGTGAGAGCGCTGTTGAAGGAATATATGTTCGTTTTCCTGAGCTCAGAGGTTTACATATGAACTCGGGTTGAAATTTACGTAAAATTTTATCACAATTTTCATATTGTCGTAAAAAACGTAGTTGAACATGTGCCAACAAGTTGATATCATTTTATCAGATAACGCGTTGCATTCGCGACTACTTTCTGCTACCGTGTCACCATTTTTGGATCTCTTGTTCGATTGGATGTTGCAGGGAAAGTAAAAGAAGTGCTCTCTGTGAACTACATATTAGTCATTGAATCAGGCTCACATCGACGGCGCCATTATCTCAGCAAGAGTTTCTTATAGTTGACACTACACCCGATATGCTGTGCAATTCGTCTGAAGCTGAGAAGTAGTTATCACCGGAGTTTCACCCGTGCTATGAAAAACAGCAGTGAAAAATATATTTCACGACTATTGCATAGTGCGAATATCGCGTTTCTCACGGAGTGTTACGCCAAAAAACGGTTGAAACTTGACTGAATGTCGCTGTTCGTCTTGTACGGTTCCCTATGGCAGATTCTGGAATGAAAGATTCATGGTGGTCACTGAGCTCATGCCATTTTTCATTACGAACAATATGGAGAGGAAAATTCTCGAGGGCGGTCGGGCTCTCCGGGTGAATATTCGCTGCTGCTTGGTATCGACGATTTGGAGGAAAGTACTCAGGTCCTTAAGACGAATACGTTCCTGCCAGCACCACCAGACGACGTTGTCAAGTTGTGCTCGTTACCGTAAATTGCCCAACATGTGAGGAATTCAATGATGTACCTCTGTTGTAGGGGTACAGCGATGGAGGAAGCCTGGCGCCGGGCTCTGGCCATTCTGGTTGATAAGGCGAGGAAATGGGCCGCTGAGCAGCTGTATGCATACTTCGTGGATTCACTTGATCTCAAGGTGAGTTCCATTCGTTTTACGTGAAGTGGCGTGATACTCTGTGAAAAACGCGATATTCGCAGTATGAAGTATTCGTAAAATATGTTTCTCGCTAGTGTTTTTCACATCACGGGTAAAACTCCGCTATATAAAGATATTATAAATAGTGCGAAAAATTTCCAATCAGAGACAGTGTATTTTCCTCAGCTACATAGAATGATGTCTGGTGTCTATAACAATGATGTTTATGGTGGGATTGTCAGGGCCGCTTGTCATCAATCCACTCACATTTCCTTCTTGCGAGAAGTGACTGGTTATCGCATTTCCTGGACTCTGCGGGAGAGGAACTCGAGACGCAGCTGGTCGAATCGATTGATATGAACAGGATCAACACTCTACTCGACTTTGCAATACGATCGAATGTTAGCAGTAAGTTTAGCGCTTCCCCTTCCTCGTACGATCTTGAAGATTTTGACGTCACATTGAGTGCTGCGGCGAGCTTATAATAGAAGTTTTTAATCGAGATCTGTCGCAGCTTTCGCTGGTATTAATGTCATTGGAAATGTGCATATTTATCAGGCACACTCTTGCAAACAGTGTAGATGAATTCGTTGAATGTATGTTATGCATGAATATTGGTACATATTCGTAATGTATATTCTATGATGGACATGCATTTGTATAACTGGTTATTCTAAAGGAGTAAATGATATTATGCGTGCAGACGTTTTATGTGTTCATTATTACTCTCATTCCCGACTAGTGTGGAAAAATATGCAAATGGTCAACTAAATGTGTTGATGACAGTAAAGGAAATTATCATCAGTTTCTATGCACTTCTACGCGAACTTGTATAACTCCTGAGCTCAGCTCAGCCGTTGTAGGCACTCACGCTGATCCGCATTGTGGGGAGATGATTGCCTGTATGCACACCTTCCTCACTGAGGAGACTCCTAGGAAGTAAATCTCATATTACATATCGATGTGATGGAGTGTTTCCCCACAGGCTCGCGTCTAGGAGTTATACGCCATATACGATAGTACAGCGCAGTGCTGACGCCTCTAGAGCGCCTACGGGGATCAGGTAGGGTTCTTTGCGGTTGTTCCTGACGGTGGGATTCTACTTGCATTTTAGTATGGTGTTTTTGAGCGCGCTTGAAATCGGTGTTGGAATATATGTTCGGTTACTTCAGCTGAGCTTGGAAGTTTTCTTACTAATCATATAAGTTTACGCATGAATTCGGGTAGAATTGTAGAGACACCAATGAGCACCTCTCGAAATTTCCTCAGAATTCCCATATTTTTCATGTGCATATTTTCCCACCCTACTTCAAGTAGAGATATGATGATCCAGTGCCAATCGAAAACCTAGGAAAGCGTGGTGAAAATTATTGCACGATAGTTCCTGTTTGTGCTCAGGTGCTTCACACTGGGACTACGAGAAGTTAAATGGCCACTATCACTGATCCTGTCAACACCTGCGGTGTTTAAACTACAAGTTATTTTCCGACACCTTTGCTATTGCCGGTGAGTGCATGGTTATAAACCCGACTTGACAGTGTTGCTCACTTCAGATGGGTCCAGAATAGGCTCTCTCAAGTGTGGTTGGACTTTCAATCTACGAAGCCTTTCTATTCCCCTGGACAAGACACAGAAGGTGACGAACTGCTGATGAGTCCATCATCAGTGTGGGGGGAAAAATGCACATGGTCGGCTACATGTGTTGGTGATGACAATATGGAAATTTCGAGGAAATTTCACCCGAGTTTGTGTGTAAAGTTGTGTAATTAGTGAGGAAACTCCCAAAATAAGTTGAGGAAAGCAAGCGTATATTCCTCCAACACTGTTCATCGCTGTGAAGGTCTACAAGCTGTATTCGACTCGTCGGTGCTGCTGTGCCGTATGAAGCAGTTCGTGACGAATTACGTCTACTACGCTACGACTGAGGTCATTCAGCCCAGATTTGAGACGTAGACCCACTACTATGTTTGAGGGGATCTAACAGTGGGTCGCCGCAGGTTCCTGCAGATGTTGGAATCATCGTCGGCGAATAACGATCACAACGGTATCGCTGCTCCGAAGGCCGCTTCTCTGGAGACAGTGATGTCAAGTTTCCAGCAACTTCTTGATACACTATTGAGGGTGGTCTCGTGCTGATGATGTGTTGATGGACACTGTGTGGTGGCTTTCAGGAGATGTTATTAACATCGGAATCGGTAGCCTTGTATAAGTACCTCGCTAAAATACTGTCGACTTGTTCTCTTTACGCTAAACATATGGGCAACTTCAGTATCGGCGACACTGGTGAGTTATGAACAATCGTGTATTTGTGCGCAGGAGGCGTAAACCGTGTATAGATGAAAAAACAGTGATAAGGCTAGCTGCAATCAGTACTTAGTCCCCGA